TCAAGGATAGTCCCGATCGTCGGTGACCAAACTATCAAGCAGCGTGGAGCGATAACCGGAAGCAACGTGAAGATGCCAGTAGGCGAGTTGGGCGGCCTGGCGTGTGAAACTGAAAGAAACTGGGCGTTTACGCAATGTCTTAGTAGAATGTCTAACAGCCGCTATCGATACGGATATAAAGAGTGTTTCACTGCTGAGTCGATCGTCTTGCCTCGCTTTCGCTCACGATCTGTCAAGCCGACTCCATCGGTAAGTAAAGCACTAATGGTGGTATGCCGAAAATCGCTTTGGGATTAAGATGAGGCGAATCATTATCAGCAATCGGAAACGCTTGTTGAGACAGTTTCCCGTTAGGATCATCATTGACCGAGCTTCATTTTGATCACCGCAAGTGAGCGGGTTCTTGAACCAGTCGTCAGTTCGTAATATTCGCTGCAATGAATGCAGGCATTTACGTGGTGCGTGTTAGGTGCGATTCGGTACGGGGTGAGGGTGTGTGTGTGTGTGTGTGTGTGTGTGTGTGTGTGTGTGTGTGTGTGTGTGTGTGTGTGTGTGTGTGTGTGTGTGTGTGTGTGTGTGTGTGTGTGTGTGTGTGTGTGTGTGCGGCGTGTGTGTGCGTGTGCGTTCGCGCGCGCATCCGCGCATGTAATACCGACCATGTCTCGAGATAAAGGTGTTGACCTTCAGGATGTTCTTATGTGATGTCCCAGGTAAATATTTATCACATTTTTTACGATTCTTGTTCAAACAACAGCAGCAGCTGCAGTGAGGATAGAGCCGGTATCGACCGGTTTGTAATATCGCAATCTCGATTCGATCTAGCGTAGTTGGCACGTGCCGCCACACATCTCCCACAATCTATCCGTTCTTTGCGCGAATGAGGCGATAAACGGCACACGGCGGCTCCCTCTGTTAGAACGGACAAACTATATAGTCAGGTGTGAGACGCTGCTGCTGCCGCTGCCGCGCAGTAACGTCGCAGTTTATAATACAAGCCGCCACCCAGCGCAGCTCGACTTGTTAATGAAGTACTAGAAGAACTCGCTGCTCGTCTAGCGCAACCCTTCCGTACGCATCTCTGCTGATAGTGTATCGTACGTTGCCATGGCGCGCCACGTTTCTTCCAACGACCTGCTACGTCTCACGACGAAGAGCGTTGAATCGACTCCAGTGCCGCTAAAAGTTGTCAAATACGGAGAGCACGTAGCGGAGAAACGACCACCCCCTGACGGCGGGTGGGGGTGGGTCGTTGTCATGGCTGCTGCCCTATCACTGGGTCTCAGCTGGGGACAACAGAAGGCGTTCGGAATTTTATTGATTGACATCATGAACAGACTTGGAACTAATGCGCTACAGACATCCACGATCGGCGGACTGAACCTATCTCTGTCATGCCTACTAAGTAAGTATTATTAAAACTGTAAAAACGCTTAAATTTACACTTCTTATATACATCACTTCTTATATACATCATGTGTTTGCCGAATGTTCGGTTTTATTAAATGTTTATAAAGGCGCCTGATTTTGTCGAATTTCCCCCATACGGTTCCATATTTCATCTGGCATGAATATATCTGTGAACTCGCGTATAAAAATATTCGTTTACGCTCCGTTTATAATGTTGTAACCATTGCAGCTCCAGTGGCTAGCATCCTATGTAAGAAATACGGTGCACGGCGAACAAGCATTGTTGGTGGGTTGATGGGTGGCACAGGCTTCATTCTAGGCTTCATCTCAAACAATCTGATAGTCCTCTACATCACCATCGGCGTCATAAACAGTAAACACCATCGTATATATGCAAAATATGTTTATGTATATACATGCGTGTGTGCGCGTGCGTGCGTGCGGGTGCGTTGTGTGTGCGGGTATTCTGTGCGCCGCACGCGTGTTGTGTGTGCGGGCGTGCGTGGTGTGGTGTTTTTATTTGGCGGGGGGGGATGTAGGTAGGTGTGTGGATGTGTGTATGTGTGCGTGTGCGTGTGTGCGTGTGTGCGTGAGTGCGTGTGTGTGGTGGGGGGGGGGGTTATAGTTATCGACTAGTTTAGTAAACGTAATTAACGGGTTAAATAAACGGGTTAAACAGCAATAAATAATTGTAAAATATGAAGCATAACCATCAACGGTGGTACCGCAGTAACAATGTCTATCACGCCTAAGCCGAATTGAAACATTCGAATTTTAGATGAAAAGTCGACCAACTCGTTCAACTCACCAGCTTTTCATTTAAAAGTTGATAGAGTCAACTTTAGATTGATTCATTTTTGCTGATCCCTACGTACTGAGCACCGCCATCGACGCGTAGAAGTAGGTCTGCTATGGGAGTAAGCGTAGGTACTATCTTCGTGCTGCAGGTATTGGAGTAGCTCTCATGAGCATATCGGCCTTCGCTATCGTTAATGACTACTTCGACAAGCGCTCATCGTTAACCACGGGAATTCTCGTGGCCGGATCGGGCACCGGAAGTGTCGTGTGGCTCCCTATCACTAACGTTCTCCTGGAGCTGTATTCTTATCAAGGCGCCTGCCTCGTCATGGGTGGCCTGGTGTTGCACGCAGTCGTCTGCGGCTGTTTGTACCGACCGCTTGATGTGCCGACGAGAAAAGTCACGCCGTCAGTGCCATCTGGTGGTAGAAACAATTTTCTGGGTCTCAATCAAGAGTCTGTTAAGTCCACCCCTATCGGTGAAGAATGCCCAAAGAAGGTTTGCTCTGCGGAAATATTAGAAGCACATATTCTGTGCAACAGAGAAGAGAATGTAGAGGATTCTCCTACTGATACCATTCAAAATGGTGAGGCCATTTCCACGTTAGTGCCGGAATCAGATATGAACGGCGGAGCTGGACAGAGCACGAACGAGTGCCCTATCTGGAACGTTCCTAATGGACAGGTTATACCAGAAGTAATGAAGGCGCATCGTCTTCGAAATGGTGCGCAGAATGCAGGGGATTGTCTTTTCTGGAACAATCCTAGTCAACAGCCGTATGTTAGATTGGGAGGGAGTGCATCTGTCGCCGATACAATATGGTTATCATCAGAAGAGTCTCTATACGAGACAGATGAAGCGGCAGAGAAGGAAGGTGACGTCAAACCAATGAGAAATAATACAGAAGAGGAGAACCTTTCCAACAAATCCACCACGCCTTTGCAATATGAAGGACTTCTCACCATCACCACTAAACGCAACGATGCACAGTTTCATGTAAAGGCTTTTTCGGACGACTATGTTCCGAGCACGGGCGAAATCTTCCCAGCAGACGATGATAGTCAGGGCCACGGTCTTGGACATGGGAATGGTTTAATGAGCGAAGATGTTGGTACGTGCAATGCCTGTCCGGAATCGCAACCGATGAACATTTCGACAGAAAAATCAGACTATCAAAAGCCACTCACCGACATTGTGAATCAAGTGCTTTGCAGTCAATGCCAAGATGCGACGGTTCAAGAAAATTGCGATTACGGGGAGACAGGTACAGGCCCGATCGTATATCAGAATATGCGGGATTCTTTGGAATTGGTGACGTCCACTGCCTTTGACAAAGTTGAAAAGAAGAATTTCCAGATGGGACGATGCGGTAATGCCAATGACCTGTTGGATAGCGATGAACTGTCACAAACTTACGACGCCATGACTGCCAGAGACGTGGACTGTATAAGCCGCAATGCGTACGTAAATCCTGCATTCATCCACGATATTACTGACACTGACGACATCGTTACGAAAACTCCGCCACTTGCGGCTAAGAAGAAGAAGAAGAGGATGATCTCAGTAAAGATCCTCAAAAGCGTTCGCTATTGGATAATCCTGACATCGATGCTCTTATTGTTATTACTGGTTACTTACTGTTATTAATTGTACTACTGTTACTTATTGTTATTACTGTTATTACTTTATCATTGGTGAAACGAACATAATTGGAGCCTGCAGGCATAGTCTCACGGATGAGGCGTCCGTGTATCTGGCCGGTCCAACGACATCTCTCATGACGACCCATGCTGCACACCACATCGAGCCCGTGCAAGCACCGATGATTGCCGACAGAATCAGGTACAGTTCCATCGTCTGCACGCGCACGAAGAGCGTGAAGCCCGTGCCGGAAAGCAGGATGAACGCGCAGTAGGCAATCTGGCGTTTGACGGGCGAGCGGAAGAAATCCGTGTTGTACATCATGCTTAGAAGCACTCTCGCCACGGTGTCGACCAGAGATAGTAGTGTCACCGCCGTTGCCTCGTTTACGTGTTCGCCTCCGATCTCGATAGATTTCAACGGCATGTAAATGCCGATGAGATTAATCCCAAAATCTGCCAATAATTAGATCGCGGTTGATCATACATGAGAAAGATATTAAAAGATTTATTATTATTATTATTATTATTATTATTATTATTATTGTATCTCTTGTGTTATTATTAGTAATAATACATTAAACAACCAATGCTGTGAAAAGTGCTTGCTAACATTTTACGACTAAGTTTCTGATTATCAGAGTCATGTGGACGTTGGAATAATTATCATTGCAAATATCGTATACTCTTACGGTTTCTAACTGCTTGATCGTTTTATGAATCAGACAGTTAATCTTTACGTAACATAGAGCAGAGAATTTGTAACGCATATTTACACATGACCGTATTATACCCCGTTATTATAACACTAGCGTCTTTTGTATCTGCATTATTATGGGCTGTTGTCTTTTGCTGTTAGGGTCGTAGCATATCAATATAATTAAACCATGCTGTATAGCAAATAAAACGATGCAAAGCTGCTCATGGTCATCATTATCATCCTGATCATCATGACCGTCATCATCATCATCATCATCATCATCATCATCATCATCATCATCATCATCATCATCATTATCGCTAACGGGAAAACAATATGCGCAACTGCAGTACGAGAAATAAGTGATAAATAAATATTAAGACTTGCAATTATAGCGTTATGTACTATAAGTTATATGTTAACATTAAGGTAATGGGTTAATCAGCAGTAAACAGATTTGCACTTTATTACGCACTAGGAATTTCATGTAGCGTGACCATAGGTAGGCCCTATACATTATTATTATTTTTATTTATTATACATTATAATTGTATATATATATATATATATTTATAATTGTGCTATATGGAGATACGGTTTATTATAGATAATATTGGGCAAACATATAGAAAAACCATCTCAACGGTTACGTAGTTGCTATCGGTGACTATAGATAACTGATCGATATCACTCTAACATTATATCCAACCAAGTAGTAACTAACATAACTTCATACTGACGACAGAGATAGAGCTGCCTGTTAACCACGCCAGGCTGTTAGCTTATAATAAACCATCGACATACAAGTCTTACAAGATGACGATGTTACTAGGCATGCCCTGGAAAAGCGCGTGTTCGGTTTCCTCCGTTGTAACGGACATCTCGGCTTCCGCAGCAACAATGTCGGCACTGTCTCCTTCCCTGAGCTTCTTCTCGCGTTTTCTCGTTAGAATCGGCAGCGGTACGGCGATGGCAGCCGACAGCAGCATCAGTACACCGATGATCGTAAAGATGGTCTGCGTCTCCTGCTTACTATCATATATGCCACCTATACAAAACCTCCGGCTTTGTTGCACAATGTAAAGGAAAACGCAAGTAAAATTAAATTGCCAAGTTAAACGCATCTTGCAGTGTAACTCATGAATTTAATTCAGCCATTGCTGCACGAAACGCCTTGCAACTGAATAGTTGAACTACTATACAAATGCCTTTACATATATACGCGCACGCGTGTGCGCGCGTGCGTGCGTGCGTGCGTGCGTGCGTGCGTACGTGTGTGTGCGAGTGTGTGTGGAGACGCAGATTAAACCACCCCCTTCGCCTATACTGAATATTCCTTTCAATCTCACTACGGAATTGAAAAATATCATTTAACCCATAAATCATACTTCATGTTTTATCAAACCCTATACATAATGCCGCACTCTATATGTGACTAGATTTTCTCCTATTTCGCCTGCAGTTGCGTTCGGGGGAATAGTATAGAACTATCGACGACTTAGCCAACCGTACTAACCAGATTGATCTCGTTCTCTCCCCAGGGGTGCATTTCACTATTGCTCTGCGTCTTAAATCCAAGGTGTTTACGTCGACCATCTCTTCCAGGTGCCGCCCCGACATGGTGATAACGCGTGTAAATCAAGACGATGACA